CCCGTGCACTCACCTGCACTCTTTGCATGCACTGCACGCTCCGACCAGTCACCTCTTTGAAGAGGACAGGCCAAAACAGAAATCAAACATTAAATCAAAACAGATTTAATCCAGTCGCATATCAAGCAATCATTTGTATAAACTTAAACATGAATTGGCAAGCCTTCAGTTTAACAGGAAAGGCTATTTGTACCTCTTGAGAACTGATAATAGCCCACTTCAAAACTCCCAGATTGACCTGTTCACACAGAGTAGGAAACAGCAGTTCCTCTTCGAGATGATAGTTTACCTCATTCATTGAACCACACATGTGCTGTTCTCTTTGAACTACAAAGCATTTAGGTCATTCTGAATAGGCATGGTTCTAAGATTTAGAGATTTGCATAAAGATAAATACTTTCGAGATTTACATAAATATAAATATGGTTTAAGATAACAGTACAACACTTTTGCCTGCAAGTGCCGTATTCTCACTTTTTTTTATTTTATTAGTTTGTTTCTGAGAATTCTGATTGTGATTGCATTAATTTGTTTTTGCATTAATCTTGGGGAGGTGCTTTTGGGTGATTTTTATTCATACACGAGTGCTATTTCATAACATTAAGTATGGTTAATTATTGGGCATTCTCGTTTGGCTTTTAAAATCAAAATCCTTATTCAAATCATATGTTACATAACCAGAATTGTTGAAGTTGTTTGAACCTTAGGTTATGGGCTAAGCTGTTAACGTAGGGCATTGTTTTGTTATTAATTATGCAGTTTTTTCTAATGCATGATTTATTTTTTCAGATGGTCGTACTGCTGGCTCTTGAAATTAATTTCAGATTCTCTGACTAACCTTGGTTCTAAGTGAGGGTGTGATCTTGTAAATGTTGGTGTGTGTGTATATGAATGGTGTGCGTCGGTTCGTGTTGTGTAAGATTACTTTATGTCTGTTACGTCTTACACATGCTGGTCTTTTGCCTGCGTTTGTTTGTCTGTCTGTGTTTTGCTGGAGAATGCTGTGTTTTTGTGCTTTGCAGCAATGGTACACAGCCACTATGAATCTGCTGGCGACCTGGCTGACTGAGCGCATGGAACAACAGCTTCATGTCTATCAACTCAAAATCCTCATCAGGGTTGTAAAGGTATTTTTTTTTCTAACTTACATGGAAGTGTTAATGCTCTGAAGCTGGAGTGATATGATTCTAGTCAAGGTAAAACCACATAGTCTAGATTTCATTATGTGATTTGGGTTTCGCTCAGGGATGCGCAATATTGGTCCCATATCGTTTATTAAATTTAGGTCTACTGGATATGCGCTATATTGTATTAGATATTAAATTATGCATGCTCATTTCCCTTACCTTTGCTGCCATCTCACTAAAGTTAATCTTTAACTCTCAACACGGCAAATCTCAACAGTAACATTCATTTTTCTTCATACTGTACATCGTTTTATTGTGCTTCCTTAGTATTACTTGCTATATGTGCTTTCTAAATTCACTGGCAGCATTTAAAATGACTGATTTGAAATTAATTTAGACACAATATTTGTACCATATTGGCTAAATTTAGGTCTATTAAATATCAAATTATGCATGGTCATTTCCTCCATTTTTAGATTACCTTTGCTGACGTCTGACTTAAAGTTCAGCTTAAAGGGTTAGTTCACCCAAAAATGAAAATTCTGTCAGTATTTACTCACCCTCATGTTGTTTCAACCCCGTAAGACCTTCGTTCATCTTCGGAACACAAATTAAGATATTTAAGATATTAAGATCGCTCCTGCATACAGTCCATAGGCTTCTTGAGGTACTGGCTCTTGCTGTCCTCGAAAAGTCATTAAAGACATCGTTAAAATAGTCCAAGTGACTACAGGGGCTCAATCTTAAGTTTATCAAACGACGAGAACACTTTTGTGCGCAAAAAAACAACAAAAATAACGACGTTATTTCAACTATCACTTCCTTCTCCATGAGCCTGTAAGTCAGTTAACGTAGTGTGATTGCGTAGAGCTACGTCACACGTAGGCTCACTATTGGCTGACGCTGGTCATGTGTGTGTGATGCGTGTGACGTACAATAACAGAAGCTTACGCTATTAAACTAGTAACCTGACTCGCGCAGAGGGAGAAATAAACGAATAGTTGAAATAAAGTCGTTATTTTTGTTGTTTTTTTGCGCACAAAAGTGTTCTCGTCGTTTGATAAACTTAAGATTGAGCCCCTGTAGTCACTTGGACTATTTTAACGATGTCTTTAATGACTTTTCGAGGACAGCAAGAGCCAGTCCCTCAAGAAGCCTATGGACTGTATGCAGGAGCGATCTTAATATCTTAAATATCTTAATTTGTGTTCCGAAGATGAACGAAGGTCTTACGGGGTTGGAACAACATGAGGGTGAGTAAAAACTGACAGAATTTTCATTTTTGGGTGAACTAACCCTTTAACAGTAATTCAGTAACAATGCAAATCCATTTTAATTTTAATATCATCTATTTATTGATATTGTCTAGAATTTTAATATCTTGCATCCCTAGTCTTGCTATTGACATATGGGTATTATTTACCATTCAGGGGCAAATAAGTCTGATAGTATGTACTGAAACAAAAGAAATACAGTGCTTGAGGAGGTACAAAGCCGGCTGATATCTCTCATTCTTATAGAAAAAGTACCGAGATTTTAGGCTACAAGGCGTTCTTGACTCCACACTGAACAGCAAGTCGTACGATACGGTACGGAACCGGCTGACCCTGGAGGAAGCCACTGCCTCTGTCAGGGAGGGGGGCATGCAGGGCATCTCGATGAAGGACAGCGATGAGGAAGACGAGGACGACGATTAGAGCATCGAGCCATCCGGTGCCACCCACCACCCTGAACCTGACCCATCTATCCAACCCAACCCTACCCTACCCCAACACTTTAAACTTAGCCTGATAACGTAAGATGCATGTAACAACTCTGATTACCCAGTTAGCCACTCTAGGATTTCCCCCCCCCCATCAGCTCGAATTGCCCACAAACGAAGCTATAAAAAAACAACAACAATAAAAATCAAATAATTGTACTAAAGAGTAAAAAGAATGTTGCAAAGACCATGATTGGCAATTTTAGCTGTGTCATATCATAATAAAGAACAACTAGCACCAGTTTTTCCAACTCATTTATTTGAGGAATTTGTTTCTATGTGTTCCTAAGCAATATGGAGTACCATTTGTTTGATAATGTCGAGTGAGATTATTAGGTGTGTCCCTGTCCAATGCGATAACATATATGGCGCTTCTTTGACGTACTCTTACATACATTAATGGTACATTGTTGTGGAGATGAGTGTATGGACCCTTTTCTTTGTCTTGTCTGTTTTTAAAGTGGATGTCAACTGCTTCGAAACTAAAAATGAACCACTGTATTTAAGTTCAAAACTGTTAACTGTAAATGTCTTCTGTGTCTGCTCACTTCCATTGTACTTTTTTCCTTATTTGTGTCGAGGCTCTGTTGCCCTATGTTGCAAATATCCAACTAGCCATTGTCTCACAGGCATCTTAAAATGAAAATGAATTGGTATTCTAGAAATGCAATATTGTCATACCTCCATTTTGATATCTCTTGGAGACGTCTTTTAATTCGATGTCAGAAATGACAACAAAAACGGCTATATTTTTGGGTTTGTTTCACTTTTACAGAGGATCTCCCTCTCTCACTCTCTCTCTCTTATCTCTCTCCTTTTTTTTTAAGTTTGAATGTCCAATTAAAGCCATTCTATTTATGTAGATCTGTTGAAATTGCTATGTGCCATTTTTGGGGTCTCACTATTATTTTTGTAAATACAATGCTGTACATTGCATTCTGAGCCATTGCTGCATGCCTGTGGGATCCACCTTCTCCAAAAGCTTTTTTTGTTTTGTTTTTCTGTGTCAATTAGCTGGTGGATTCATTCTTGCGTTTGCCTTATCAAAGCCAACAGTTGTAATATGCAAGAGCTGTGGCCTCTCAATAAAGATAACATGATGTACTAATTTAACTGTAGATTTTGTTTCTTCGTTTTCAGAAGTGGCCCTTAATTTCAGGCTGGAGAGTATTTAATGACCCATTTAGATCATATTATTCTCTTTATTGGCCTTAACCTTTTATTGACTTTTTTTTTCATAGAACATATTTTTATTGCCAAGCTTAAACACTCAGAATTCATCATGTGAAATCCGTTTTGTAATCGGACTGTGCATTATGTTTTATAGCCTTTACATAATTTAAGCTACTGCCCTTTTATAGTCAGTAGCTTATATATTTATATATACTTTTATATTTATATATACTTATATATTTTATAGTATTTTAATGTTTAATCTTGATCAAACATATCGTTGGAAAGCTCTGAGAATGTTAAATTTAGTGAATATTCAGTGATAAGTACATGGATAAAAGTGACAATTTGTGACAGGAGAACGCATTTAAAGAAAATCAATGGAATGTGGGTGTCACTCGGTGGATAGCTCCATGAAAGTGAGGCTCTTAGGGGGAGACTATTTCATTGGCATCCACAGAAAAATGTTGTAAAGCTTAGAACATGTCTGGAGTTTTTATAGGCTACTGAAATTTCTTGGAAAGATACTTTTGCAGTGTTTCGTAAGCCAAAAACATTAAATAACAGAACAACCCACAGTGAGGGATGCTTCAGTGCCTCGCTTTAATTTCCATAAAACCCTGTGAAAATCTATATAGTGTAAAGAAAATCTAATACGAACCTCAGTTGTTTTTTACATCTTACATCAAACTTAAAATTTGGAACACAGCTTGGTATTGCTTTGATTTTATAGTAATTTTATAGTAAAATTTTTATTTTTTTTAAAATAGATATATTTTCATTTCTATTTTTAAACTTGAACGTTTTTAAACTCTTTTTCCTCCACGTTTTCTTTAAAAAGAGACCACTGTATGCCAATGTCACGAGTAACTATTTAAAGTACAGCAGTTATCAGGTTTTTCCTCGTTGAATAATGGACTTTTATTTTGACGTATTTTATATTGGCGTTTAACCTAGTCGGCTTCACGGTCGCCCAGGATAATATAAAACCTATGTATAAAACACAATGGTCTCTTCATTTATATAAATAATAATGTCTATCCCACCTGGATCCATAATCGTGTCGGACTGGTTCCACTGTGCAGACAGCAGAGAGTTTTTCAGCAAAATACTGCATAAGAAGACACGGCGAAAGTTTGGTACGGATGATTACCATGGAGACAGAAGTTAGGTGTCACCATGTACTTTGGGTCTGGTATTTCTTATTGTGGAATATCTAAATGAAAAGGAAAAGAACAACTAAATGATTATAACCAACGTATTAAGTTCTTAATAAATTATGTGATTTTATATATTGTGAAGGGCTCTTGGAGGCACCGATGATGCCTCCTCATATGAATGTGGACATCGTTCGCTACAAGGTTCTTATCTCTGGTAAAAGTGGAGTTGGGAAGAGCGCTCTTGCTTCCCGTCTCGCTGGCCTCGAACTACCCAAAATGCATTATGAAACCACAGGTAATTAAACAAGCCAACACATACTAGTTTGTAAATATATATATATATATATATATATATATATATATATATATATATATATATATATATATTTTTTTTTTTTTTTTATTTAAATTCATAGGAGCCTTCTCAATTCGTTTGAATTGACATTGATCCATAAAAAGTTATTCTTTTGACCTATATCAGGTGTCAATCAGCAAGAAATCCCTTAAATTTGAATCGCCTTTCAGATTATTTTCCAAAAATATTAATGTGACAAGGTTGAGAATAGTGTGATGGCGGTTGAAGACTATAACAGGTTTGAGGGGACATCCGCCATTGCCTTCAATTTTTATATTTTTCTCTCTCTCTTTAATATTGTGCCCTTCTGTCTGCTTCAACATATTTGCATATACATATAGACCCTGTGCACATTTTGTAAAATATTTTCTAAACAAGTTAAGTGTCTCAGGGACATGTCAAAATGCCTAGTGTAAGGTAGAAATAATATTGGAGTTAGAAATAAGTAGATATTATGATTAAAATGGTTTTAAAGCAAATAAAATATTTTTCTTCATAATAATGAACATATCAAAGTAATGTGAAAAGCTTAAAAAATTTAATTTGTTAAATTATTGAATCCCAGGAATTTCTCATATACATAATATGGGTCACTATAGCTGAGCTGTACAATGGCATTGGTAATAGAGGGTTATGCTGCTTTCCATCCACACCAATAGGTGTCAGTATGTATCAATAAAAGAACATCAGGCAGTGATCATTGCCTGTCATTGATTCCTCTAGGCATAGAGACAACTGTGGTCTTCTGGCCTGTGAGACTAAAGGACAGTGGCCGTGTGCTGTTTTTCCGCTTTGAGCTTTGGGACTGTGGGGAAAGTGCCTTGCGAAGATTTGACCACATGTTACCAGTGAGCATCTCCAGCACTTACATTCCTTTAAAGCTACAAATTCTGTTTCACATTTAAATATAGGCTGTGATGTTTATGTCAATCTTCTCTCTTCAGTCATGTAAGGAACAGGTGGATGGCATCCTTTTCCTGTTCTCCTTCACTGATCGTGGCTCCTTCGATGATCTTTCAAATCAGATATCACGGATCACAGAATCTTCAGATCGAGTGGTTAAATTGGTGGTTGGCACCAAGTATCCTTCAGCTTTAGCATCTATTTACAATCAAATAAATATGTTGCAGGACTTATATATATATATATATATATGTATACACACATTCATAAAAGCTACTTCAATGTCCAAACTGAACTAAGGCCTAATCTTGGCTTAATATAAGCCCTGTCTGTGAAAGCACGACTAAGTTGAAAATGGAAAATATAGAAATAAAAACTAATTTAAAATATTAATAAAAGCTATTATTGTATCTTAATTATACCAAAGCTAACATTGATATGTTGTTATAACATCATAGAGGTATATTGTTATGTGACATTGTCTTGGCCCTTAACAGTGAAGATTTGACTTATTTATGCACACAGACGTGACAGAGAGTGACGTAGCACATTTTCAAGAGGTGTGGGGTCTTCCGGTCTTCCGAGTGGGAGGTGATGTTAGTGCGGGGCTTGGTGAAGTAGCACCTCTCCTAAATGCTCTTGCAGAAAATCTGTGGTACCAGGACTGCATTGCTGCTTCAACTGTCTCCATCTCCCCACAGGCTGCTCTTAGAGAAACAGGCTCAGAGATTATTGTATAGCTTGTATAGATAGATCAATTTCACATGTATTGGTCAGTATAAGGTAAAATTCATGGATGGACTATGCTGCTGAAATACCCCGAATACCCAATTACTTGAAATAATTTTTGCTTTCTAAATGCCTACAAGTTTATTAGCCATTTCAGTCCAGTGAAGTGCAAATATCCGTGAGACAAAAAATAGTCTTGTAAATGGTGATAAAAAAAAATGTCTGCAAGAAATAAATTGTTATATGCATATATTCATTGACCTCAGATCATATATATTGAAGTCAAAAAACATTTATGTTTTTGTTTGTTCACCCAAATTATGACATTTAGTAAATCAATTTAAAGGAGAAAACAGATTCAACTTCCTAAAATTCTCAAACATAGACTCATGCATTAGGTCTTCACTTCTTTTATTGAATCCATGATTACCGGGCCCTTTGCGGTGTGTTTTTGGGCTTTAATACTCAACAAGCCACCTTTCCCAATTGAAGATGTGACTGACATTGGATCCACATCAGCAGGGAATTGGCACTTCTGACAAACAGCGTCCACAATTGTGCCATCTGATGCCAACTGATTCATCAGGTAGGAAAAATGGAAAAGAAATTAATTTTAGTTCCATTATTAATTCATTTAAGAAATTAAATCAAGCATAAGAACTTAAGAAAAAAATAAAATAAAAACATGCCTAGAGATTTCAATCCTATCCAATACTAAATTACCTATTGAGCCATTAGTTTATTTTGCTTACCTTTTCTGCACATACTTGTATAGAATTATTGGTGGAGGTTACGATAACTTCTTCTGGTGCAAACTCACTGACATTTACTGTGAATATATAAATATCTCCAACAGTGGAAATCCCCCCCTTTGAAAAACAGATATTCATGGTTAATTCTTTATGTAGTTCACATTAATATGATTATTGTGTTAGACGTTAGAATACATTATTTGCAGAGGTTGTCTACAACACAATATTTAAAAGAATTTTTTTTTCTTTACAAAACTTACCTTTGAAGCACCACTTTCCATTGTAGATTTGTTTGGTAGAAAGGAAACAGGACACTTAATCCAGCTCTTTATTTCATTTAAGATTTTGTCTGAACAATGAACAATGAAAGAACAATGTGATGCTTTTATACCACAGGCTGGTTTTGGGTGAGGCTTGTATGATGTCTATGTGCAGAATGTATCATATAATAGAGAGAAGATATTTATCTTGTAGGATGAAAATAATATCCTCTGTCTGGTCAGCACTGCATTAAAATGGTCTTTTAGAGAATACCTTAGAATTTTGGAATAAAAAATATATAATTTTTAAAAACAGTAAACGATATATTGATTGATTTCAAATGTGAGATTTGATAATGACTAAATAAAAATGTGTCTCTCAACCTAGTAACTAATACAAACAACGGAGGGCTGATGTGAAATTCCACATCCACATTAAAGCTGTCATATCAGTACTAAATAACCAGAAGGGCCCTTTTTCGTGTACGTGATGGAAAGTTAATATAAAAGGGTAGAGTAAACAGACACAGATCCCTAAATAACTTAAAAATATTCTCTTCGCTCCTACATTCAACTCAACTCGACATGGGACTTTTATTCTAAAACGCTCGCAGGTATAGTGGCCATTTTGAAAACAGCCTTACTACCTCTTGCTTCATCTCGTCTTCCGTGATCCAGTTCATTGACGAATTTTGTCGGCGGGCTTTTTTAACGTGACAGAAATGCACATCTGAAAACTATTTTCATTTAAAAATAACAATTTTACGATACACTCGTAGCCCACACAGCTGATTAACCAGATCCAGACTCGCTGTTTTTAACTAGACGACCCCTAACGCCTGGCCAGGCAGAAAGGCCACAATGAAACTCACAGACAATGTGCTGCGGAGTTTTAGGGTTGCGAAGGTTTTCCGAGAGAATTCAGACAAAATCAACTGTTTTGACTTCAGTTCAAACGGTGAAACAGTAATATCGAGTAGCGATGATGACTCTATTGTCCTATACGACTGCCAGGAGGGAAAGTAAGTCGCTTATAAATTACTCAATGTGATTCTACTACAAATGCGGTGTTGTACTGATTCGATCTTTCAAAACTGGAGTTTTAAAACACTTAAGTTACAGGCGCATTACTGTTAGGTATGGGGAAAATCAAAATCGTCGACTACCTCAGTAATAAAGGAGACATATTAAGTTTACTGTTCATAGAGAATGCTATGGTTTGAATGTGTTTTTGCACACTAGAGATGTCCGATTCTTGAAGGATCATTTTATTTGAGTCGGATCTTTTCAATGAATCATTTGGACCGGTTCACTGATTCTCCGTTTTTATTAACATATCAAAACCAATTCTCTTAAAAATCAATTTAGTATTGTTTATTATAAATGCATATTATAGTTTAATTCCAAGTTAACTTTTTAAATAAAATGACACGTTCGGACGTCAATGAATGACCACGTCATGACATAAAAGAATTGCTGATCCTTTAACCGGATCTATTTGAAAGAACCGATTCGCGTAAACGAGTCGAATGTACAGTGTAATAGAGGTCGCGTGCTAAGCATCCACGCCTTCTTCTGAGATAAATGCCCGCCTTCTGACTGTAGTAAAATGTATTATTTTAAGGTGAAGTGTTCCGTGTATATATACAGATATTTTATGTATCTAAATAAGACCATATTAACATTTATTTCCCCTTCTGTTCTCTAAATCAGACCCAAACGAACGCTTTACAGTAAGAAGTATGGTGTGGACCTCATCAGATACACCCATGCCGCCAATACTGTCGTCTACAGCTCTAACAAGATTGATGGTAGGACTCTTTATAAAATCTCATTATGATGTTGTTTTTCTGTTCCTATTCCGTTTGTTACGAAGTTTTTGCAGAAGTATGTTGTTTGTTTAGTATAATTATTATTTTCATATGATAGCAGTGTCCTGAAACGTGATATGTTTGTATCACATTATATGTAATTATGTGCAGCTTTATGACTTTATTAAATTAGAAATATTTATATTATATATTTGGCATATATGTAACTTTTTGTTGTTGTATTAATGGTTTCCTCCAGATGTTTGTTTGAGGCTATCTACCTGTGCCTGCTCTGGGTTGAGGTAGTTGTTTGTACAGTTTTTAGGGTCTGTTATTCTGCCCTGTTAAGGAGTTAACTGTACACACTACTGCCTTGCCCAGGGTTGAGCCCATTCATCCTACAGCAAATACCATACATTTTACATATTCACTTATAAAGTCTTGTTTTTGTAGCTTTACTTTGATATTTGATATTTTCTTCTCACTACCAATGTGGTTCTACAGATACTATACGATACCTGTCTCTACATGACAATAAGTACATTCGCTACTTTCCTGGACACAGTAAGAGGTGAGTTGGTTTCATACTATTTTCTATTTGCTTATTGGCTTTTGAGTTATAGTGCTTATTATATTATAATGCTATTTCAGGGTTGTCGCTCTGTCTATGTCTCCTGTTGATGACACATTCATTTCTGGCTCGCTTGATAAAACTATTCGCCTGTGGGACCTTCGCTCACCTAACTGTCAGGTAAGCAGTATTTTTATTTTGGGTTGGTGTTTTTCTTGATGGTTTATCTTTGATTCTAATCTTGGATGTGTTCACAGGGCCTCATGCACCTCCAAGGGAAACCTGTGTGTTCTTTCGATCCTGAGGGGTTGATTTTTGCTGCGGGAGTGAACTCGGAGATGGTCAAACTTTACGATCTACGGTCCTTTGATAAGGTAGCACTGTATAAAACTGCATTCAAGAAGCTGTAATGATATCCGACTTTAAATGGTAAATATTAATACATTTGTATCCTTCCTCAGGGCCCATTCGCCACATTTAAACTACAATATGAGCGAACATGCGAGTGGACTGGTCTCAAGTTCAGCAATGATGGAAAGCTCATTCTGGTCTCCACCAATGGAGGAACGCTCAGAGTGCTGGATGCTTTCAAAGGAGTTGTGCTCCACTCGTTTGGGGTGAGAAAATAGTTCCTTTTTAAATAAGTTTCGTCCAAGTTTGTGTTTTAGTGTTTAATGGAGTGTGTCTCTTCCTCTCTGCAGGGCTATAACAACAGTAAAGGTGTCATTCTAGAGGCTTCTTTCACACCAGATTCTCAGTTTGTCATGATTGGTAAGTCTTCACCAAGGCTCCTCAACAGATTGAGAAAGGACTAGAAAATAGTTTACAGATAGTGATGCCTGTCTCCTCAACATTTGGATTTTCAGGATCCGAGGATGGGAAGATCCATGTGTGGAATGCTGAGAGCGGGATGAAAGTAGCACTTCTTGATGGGAAGCACACTGGTCCGGTCACCTGTCTGCAGTTTAACCCCAAATTCATGACCTTTGCCAGTGCCTGCTCTAACATGGTAAGGCTTAACCATAAGGTAGAAACTTATCTGATATAATGGTTATAGCCCGGCACAAATGGAATACTGTGCACTTTTTCCATATATTCTGCACTGGTTTTGAAGCAAATTTGTAAAGGTTTAATATATTTAGAGGGAGTTATGCATTACCATTCCTATTTATCTCCATAAATTAAAGTGATTCATAATTTTTATCGATTTTTAGAATTTATTTTTTAGATAGGGCTGCACAATTAATCAAATTTTTAATTCCGATTACGTATGCCACGATTACGCGCAAATTCGGCGGTGCGCGCTGTATATTGCTTTACTATATATAAAGCGTAAAATACCAATAAATCACATTACTGGTACGTCATGTGTTGTCTGAGAAGGATTTGCATGCACGTATGATGCTTATTCTCTACATCAGGAGCAGTTACCATGTTTCATTAACAGTCTTTGTTAGTGCTGTGTAGTCATACTCTTACAATTTATGTGTATGTTAAGTAAAGGGAGACATTACTTGTGTGTATGTCAACCATTTTTGTATAAACAATTTTTTTTTATAATAGGCCTATATAATTCCTAAAAAAGTAGTTTGTGGCCGCTTGATGACCATGGGAAAATGTAGGTCCCATGGCCAAACGAGAACCACTTAAGCTATTCAAAACATCATTCAGTGGAAATTGTGATTATCTTAATTAATCGGCATTACAATTTCAAGGGAATAGTCGACAATTACGATTTTTTTGTCATAATCGTGCATCCCTATTTTGAGAATTCTTTTCCATCATCCGGTTAAAATTTATCATTTAGGGCTGGAATGACGCGCCTTATCTCCCGATTCGATACCATCACGATACTTGGGTGCCGATGCGATATTTAGGGTATTGCGAATTTAATCGAAGAATTGCAATATTTTTTTTTACACTAGACCATCAGGAATAGTTAAATCACACTCTTATTCAGACTGTACATGATGTCATATTTACAAAACAAATCATCACATCTTTCTGACTTTATTTCAGAAGCATCTGTACAACACTATGTTCTCTTGAATAAATGATTCAATAACAAATACATTTAAGTCACTTGTCGCCGCTTAGTGTTGAATAATGTAATTTATAAATGCGTTATTTTAAGCGGCAAGTTATTGTAGACATCAGTGTTCATTTAGAACTTTAACCTTTTATCCAAGTACTTCTTTGATCATTTTAACTATTGCATCACAGAAATAATGAGGTTGAAGATTGTTTGTGAGTCTGTTTCATGACAACTCTCTCCGGGTCAGCGGCAAGCGCCAACACAAATTTGACAACACATTTTTTTCTGTAGATTAATTTGCACGAAAGAACAAATATTATAGAATGAACACAAACAAGTGAAAAGAGGTTCCAAAGCATTGCAGTATATAAATATGAGGAAAGAAATACTTGAATTGAAATTTTCTCACAATTTTCTGTGCCATATTCCACTGGAGGCCTGGGTAACTAACAATGCAGTAGTCACCGTGCGCCACCAGTCGACTATAACTTGTCCATTAAATTCTCTCTACCACAGGCGTTCTGGTTACCCACGATTGATGACTGATGGGCAGCGGTCAGTGTCGTGTTCTTCCAGCAGGTGGCAGCATTCACTCTTCTCTTGGCACACATGGGTTTGCTCACCCTAGGACTTTTGAACTGTAAATAGATTGGCCTTGATGCCAAGTTGTATTTCCTTGTTGTTTATTTTATATCTGTATTAAAACCTTTTTTGTAAAACATTGTAAAGTAATTTGTTAACATTTTTGTTTGAGGTTGCAATAGTCCTCGATAAAATTGACTTGTGTGAGAGGTGATCTTAGCTAATCAAAATAAAACAGAACTCTGCATATGTAGATTTAGTATCTTGTGCAGTCTGAAGAAATGGCAATGAAACTTGTTTTTTTAAATAAACGTGTTTATACAAATGTCCAAAGATATGATTTTGAAGCGTTTCCAACATTAAATAATCATAGCTTGATGATTGTACCTGTCTGTGAGTGAAAATTGCTTGTATGCAATTCTTTTACATTCTTTTCTTTTATACCAGCATTCTTGTGAATTGCTTATAAAACAGAAATCAGATAACCAATATCCAGTGATCAACCTACTCTCAAGTTTGATTTTATTTAATTAAAGTTACTTTGCACTTATCGAGGCAACAGTAGTGTTTCCTTTAGTTGTGTGGGGGAAAGGGGAGAATGTGAGTTAATTCAATACTTCAAATGAAGATTGTGCAGTTGTAGCTATCTGTTTCCTTTTTAAATTTGTTCAATATTTCCAGAGGTTATTTTGCATCCAAATGGGTATATTTCATTAGTTGTCAGAATTACCAACATGGGCACTTTAGGGTTAAGTTTTATTAACAGGCTTCGACTTTTTTCTTTTAAGAAAGTCACATTTAAAAACCCTTCCGAACGGTTTAAAATGACTGCATTATTGTTGTTTTCTGTTCTTTTTCAAATTCCAGCCTTTTAGTCTTAAACTATGAAATCTATTATATAATTTTTGTTTTTAAAACTGAAAATATACACGAAGAGTGATTTAAACTGTTATTTTATTTTATATGAATAATATTTGCCCCAATAAAGAGTTTTAAAAAGTGTGAGAAAACAGTTATTAAAGTACCAGCTGTGTCAGTGAATAATTTTTGAAATATAATATATTTTGTGAAATATTCTGTCCATAAAGAAACATTTGACATGGCAAGATGAGGATTTGGCCATGTTATTGAAAAGCACAATACTTAATTTGAAATGTAAGCTGTCAAATTTATTGTTATTCCCTCAGCCTTTGTGTTAGAAACACCCTCGCAGTGCTAACTAGGTTTTGTTTGTAATTTAATGCTAAGGTAATATAATTAAGTATAGTTTCAGAAACGTTTATCAGTTTTAAAAGGGAAATGTATAGATATTAATAATGTGAAGCAGGTAAATCACATAACGTTCGATAACTTTACATGCAGTGATACCAGAAAAGAGAGTTGTTATTGAGTAAAATTTACGAATTACGTCAGCACATGAGTTTGTAATCTCGCTGAATAAAAGACGACTTTTGAGCACTTTTGAGTATCATGCCGTCTATTAACAATCAAAAAAATGTTGCCTCGTTTTATATATATATAACGTTTATAAAATATTAGAAACAAAGTCTCTCCATGAATGAGTGTGTGATATAGTGTCGTTATGGTGGGAAGATGCTAAGCAATGACGTCACAACAAAGTGACACATTCAGTTATGCAGTTCCTTACCTGTCCAATAGAGGGTGGTATGAGATTTGAAATGAGTCTAGTTGTGGTTTTGGTGAATGAATGGGCTCTATGCACGGCGTTATTTCCGGTGAAGGATTAAGGATGCTCGATAACTTCCGCCGATCATAGAGTCCAATGCAATACCGAGAATTTATATTGAATTTTATACTCCATGGTTATACTAATGAAACGTTAGTCACAAAAACGGATAAAACAGACACCCCTCGTTGTGTTTATGCTTCTTTTTAAAATTATATTAAATAAACATAACTATATATAAAATGACATCTAAACGTATGTACGTTTCGTTTCAAAGACGGGAGGACAGTAAATATTGAAGACTCTGCCATAATCCCGTTTTCTCCGGTTTTCCTCCGCTTTAATCTACACAACCGGAAATGGACGAGCATCCTTACGTCAAATGCGGAACGTATGCGTGCATATAGCCCATTGATCCTTAATACATTATTTTCAAATCCAAATCAAAGGATTTAAACGACTGGCCCCAGGGCTGCGCTGGGGGATGGTCGGGCTGTTACCCGAGGCCAGACAGTGTGCCTGCTAAATTTGGGGCAAGAGGGATCGGGTTCCTTCTGCAAGCACACACGATCCTGTCCTAGTTACAGGAGCCTTCTCTCACTCATTTGCTGCTCTCACATGCCCTCTCACTTGGATAGCAGACAGTCTCTCAAACACCAAACTCTTACATCACTCTTACTGCTGCTTGTATAGGCCAATATCGTTTAGTTTCTGATAGGTTAACGTACAAATCTGGCACTGACCATCCCTTGAAGATAGCTTGTAAAAAGAAGATCTTCCAGGTGACCTGACCTGTCCAGCTTCAATCAACTTCAGAAGGATCCTTGGCGGGTAGGAATAAAGGCACCACACTGACCCGCCATGTTTCTGGTTCTGGTGGTTACAGAGGAGCTGAGGGAGTTCCTGTCCCGGGCACGAAGTGGAACCGGCCGCCTCATCCAGGTGTTGATCAGAGACGGTGAGTGAGAAGGAGGTCTTAAGGGTTCAAGGGAATTTAATGAATCAGAAAGGTGAAGGTGCCAATATTGCTGAGGACTCGGACAAAACAAAAATGTTGACCAATAAATCAAATTTACTCTTTTAATTTATATATTTAAAAGAGTACTACCTGCTTGTAGATTAACTCTTAATGAATCTAAACCATCTTAATCTTACTGTCAACACATTAACACGCTATTGTATCACTGTGGGTGTCAGAGACTTAGCTAATATTGGTTCTTAATGATTACCATATTAATGTGTCATTTACTTAGTAGCCTAGTCCAAGGTTGACTTCAACAAATAGCCTTTATTTTTCTAGTACTGCCATGGTACCTTGTCCAAAAATCGTGGTTGTACCACTTTTTAATACCTTTTGTTAGTGGAAGATCAATATTCACTTATTTAATGGCCTTAATTTTCACTACATGTTCAAGAGCCATACAGGAATATTAAAATGGTCATCAATCAAAATTGTGTAAATATGTAACAATATTTCCCCATGTAGCCTATGATTCAACTAAAATCTGTAGGCTACTTTAGCAATAATTAGGCTGTTGAAAATAGAAATATGTTCAAACCATTAAATCAATTAATGGTAAACTAAAATTATGCCAATAAAAAAGCTACTTTACTGATATTTACTGATATAGCCAACATAAATGGGTGATTTTCCTATTTTAATTTAATATTATTTGGTTTGTATTTGTTGAACTAGATTTTTTTTTATCTAGGCTATGTATTGTTGTTTTACCGCCCAGGTATCAGCTGACGTGAGGAAATAGGACCAAAACACATTTCACAATGTATTTTGATTCTGCATTCACATGTTGACAGTAGGTCGGTCGGATGACGCGTCAATTGACGTGGAAACTGAATGGTTCTGGAGGGATTAAAACTGTGCAGAGGTCACGGAACTATAAACGGTTTCTCTGTTGCAATAAAAGCGCTTGTGTGAGAGCGTGCGTTTGCGTACGAGGCCGAGTGTCAGGTAGGCTACTGTTGAAATATTAGCTCACTATCAGATGACAAGATCCAGTTGCTGGGAAGGAAAGGGCAAAACACTATCAAATTTGAGTGAAGTCACTCTGCCATTACCCAGCATGCATGACGTATTTGGTGCACGTAGCCTACTCAGCTCCGAGCGTTTGACTGCAGTAGGCTACTCCGATCAAAAGTTCGAGGTCAGCATTATTATTTTTTTTCAAAGAAAGAAAGGGACGCATTAAGCTGATCAAAAGTTACGGTAAAAACATTATAATGTTACAAAATATTTGTATTTCAAATACATGCTAACTTTCTATTCATAAAGAAATCCTGAAAAATCTCTATCACGATTTCCTCAAATACTAAGCAGTAGCCTACAACTGTTTTCAACATTGATAACAACAATAGGCTAAACGTTTCTTGAGCCACAAATCAGCATTTTAGAATGATTTCTGAAGGATCATGTGACAATTAAGACTGGAGTTAATAGCTGCTAACCAAATTCAGCCTTGCCACCACAGGAATAAATTAGGCCAGTTTTTAGAATATATTAAAAATAGGAAACAGTTATTTTAAATCGTAATAATATTTCTGGTCACACTTTACAATAACTGTTTTGTTAAGTTAGTGCATTAAATAACATAAATGGTACAACAATAGATTGCTATTGTTAGTTTGATAACCTTTCTCAATGTTAGTTAATAAAAAAAAAAAATCATATTCATGTTCCTATTAGTTCACAGTGCATTAACCAATGTTAAGATATATAATGTATTAATAAATGTTGAAATTAATATGAACTAAGATTAATAAATGCTTTAGAAGTATTGGTCATTTTTAGTTCATTTTAAAACTATAGTAGTCATCTAGTTACCAAGTAAAATCTTATTGTAAAGTGTTACCATTTTTCACAATATTACTATTTTACTGTATTTTTGATCAAATAAATGCAGCATTGGTGAGCAGAAGAGACGTCTTGCGAAAACATTCAAAAATCTTACTGACCCCAAACTTCAGAAGAGTGTAAATTTCTAGAAGCTAATTATTTGGAGATTTTACCTTTGAGTTTACATTAGCTTCAAACTAATTGTGATAGTAAGGTTACTTTGTTAAATTAAACTAATGCAGGACAGTTTTGTCTAGGAAAGATGATGGCTGCTAATAGATTTCTAATCAGGTAGACTGTGTGTGGCCATATTAGACAGCTCCAGCCATTCCGACATCTAATGGACAGAATTTAGGCTGGTTGTTGATATGGCTCTTCCACTGTCTGTTTGACGCCTGGGATGCATGAAGACGTCTGGATCTGAATAGATCGGCTTGTTTTGGGTTCACATGTTGCCTTTGAGTCTCACAGAGATGATATTTCAGGAAACATAAAGCAGGTCAACACAGTTTTGGATCTTGTGTATCCCAACCCTTATTGGTGGGTAGATCAGACCACATGGTCAAATGCTAGTTAGTGTTCATGGTGATCGAAGCCATAGCTTTCTTGGCAGTGTACCGTCTTACGGTTCAGACACATTTATTTAGCCTGATTGTGTTTATGTGTGATTTTTTTGGTATGAATGGACTTGTATGACAGAACTCAGGGAGGTAGACATATGGAGGTAGACCTTTTCAAATTGGCACATATGTGTGTGGCTGTGCAAACAGCTTTCTGTACGTGTGTTTTAGGGGTGAGTAAAAGGCTGATGGAAAGTATGTGTCTGTGCTGATAGCTGGAATGTGTGCGACCTCAGAATAGCAGCTGCTGCAAAAAGACCATCAGGAAATCCCCCTCCAAGGTCATTCAGACTATGTATGTGGATGATGTTTGCATTAGATGTGGTTATTGACGCACTGGCTGTTTTGATGGTGTGCTCATTAATGCTTTATTTCAGTTAGGTGTCAAATCTTTCACTCACTCTGCCCAACCTTTAGATACTTTAATCCACTATTGACGAAACTGTTGTTTGGACTGCTGCATAAGACTGAATGAAACAACATTCCAGCCATAGCAGGTTAGACGAGTGCTATCAAGGCCATTGGATTAAAAAATGGCGGGGAAGCGTTTTCCCAAAAATGACGGAAATTTGTCAATGACGAGGAAAGAGTTAATACGTCTGTGTACAAAGAAAATCTGAGGACAGCAGGGAGTGAAGTGAACAGATGTACTAGTAAGTAGATTATTGATGTGATAAGCGATGCGTACTGAGAACATCGCTGTTAATCTGAGTGTTGACGCCTGAAAGCAGAGGGTGGGGCTCTGATGAGAAAAGATGAAGCCTATACCCATTAGAAAAGATGAAGCCTATAAACGTGCTTCAGTACAGGGTGTACTGGTCACACTCTTCAGGAATTCTTCTATATCTCACAAGTGTTACAATGGTCTCCATTAAACAGTGCACTGTATATAACAGAGCATTTATAAAGACCAAAGTCTCATAAATATGGCCACTTCTTTTCATATGGGGATGAATTGCTTCTAAGAACAGTTGTAATGAGCACTTTATGATGGCAATTTCAGCTTTTCATAGCAAAAGCCCCTTAAAGACCACATCTGACCACGGTATCATTCTCGGGTGGAACTATTTCATATAATTTGTCCTCCCAAGTCATTTTTATTATATTATATAACATCAGCAGTCAAAGTCACCATTATACCATTGAGCAATTTGATCAAAAACAAAGTGTTAACAAAAAGATACACTAAATATGGTTCAATTCAGTAAAGACGATATGATTATCAAGAATATATTGTGATATTAGACATTCCCCAGTAGTGGATTGTTTAATACAATTGTCTATATAACTGAAGATTAAACTGATGTGTATTATTGTGAATGTGTCTCTAGGTGAACTAAGCATCATGTGCTATATTGGGTGTAAGATACAAGGTGTGTCATGCTCTTTTTATAGCATGATGTTGATAATGGATAATATTTCACTTATTTGTTATCAGCAGTAGGCCATTAACCAAGTCTAGCCTTGTAAACACATATAGATTGATCTATTTGATGCAATATAAAATTACGCGTTACGCAACAGGTTTTTGGAATCGTGTGCAATGTCGGTTGCACCAGGTTTGTAATGAGAACTTTTTTTTATGTGTGTTTCAGAGCAGCTGGTGCTGGGGGCATATAGAGAGCCACGCCAGACCTGGGACAAAGACTATGACCACTTCCTGCTCCCCCTGCTGAACCCTCTCGAGCCCTGCTACATTTTATACCGGTTGGACTCTAAGAACGCTCAAGGCTATGAGTGGCTCTTCATCTCCTGGTCTCCTGACCAGTCTCCTGTAGGTTTTAACATCCAGACATGAAGATGTAAAGCTTGACCTGGTTAGCTGGAACAGCTAAAAACATGCATTTAAATAAGTAAAGGATATATATATAAAAGAACCATTGGAGAACATTTAACCTATTCATTTTAAATTGAACAATCGAAACATCGAAATCAAAACAATCTTTCTATTACCAATTAGAACACCCCTGGACCACTCTTAAACAAAAGGTTCAATGGATTATAATAGATCCCTAGTTTTCTTGGGCCTCATATATAAAATGTTGCTTAAAAACTGTACATAAGATCCTTTCTCAAAAGTGTGTACGAGTGATTCAGAGAAAACAAACATAGCCTACACATAAAAAACGAACATGCTCTCACAAAAACGTGCGTATGCATCTCATCCAGATATGGAACAAATTTTGGCCAACACAATTTACAAGAGTCGTTATGCTAACAGGGTTTTATTATTATTCGCGCTTAGATTTTCAAATCCCTGCAGTACTCTAACTCTGCCACAAGGAAAAAGTCCCGTACGGCTGCTTAGAACCTGACGTGGCGCTAAGAACATTTTCATGTCAAAGACTGACTTTTTTTTAAACCAGCGCAGATTTTAGCACATGTACACTCTATGATCAAATCTTTTATAAATGAGGCCCCAGGACTAAATTTTAAAGAAACTTTTATGCCAAAAAGGTTCTAAATAAGCAGAAATGTCTTGAATTACTTTTTTTTCTTGTGACAATGTTTTTTTCCCCCATACAATTTTATTCAAATAAAAAACAAATTAAAACTAAATGATTTAAAACTAAATCAATAAAATGATGGGAACCCCTAAAAGGTTATATATGAAACACCTGAAAGGAACCCTTTAATGTTCTATATAGAAACTTGTCTCAAGAATGTAGCGTCCACAAAACGCTAGCAACTGCATTAATGTATTTAAAAAACTCATAAAAGCATAGATTTGCAATCATTATTTATTGATTTTTTCAGAAAATGTAAAAATCAAATTCAGTGTAATAGGGTACGCTTAGAGCTGTGAGTATTTGTTTTGTTACTGTTTATATATTTAATACACTGTAAAAAAATATTTTCAAGATTTATCGAAACATTTTTTCTTTTGTCAAATCAACTTAAATAATTTATTTAGTCGAGATAACTTATTATTTTGAGTTTCTGATGATTAAATTAATCTCCTTCATTGCATTAACTCACTTTTTCCAGTTCAATCAACTTAAAATTTTAAGGCAACCAGGCTACTTACTTTTTTAAGTTAAACCAACAATATTTTTTTACATTGTAAAGTGAGCATTTGCTTTTGCTACAGGTCAGACAAAAGATGCTGTATGCTGCCACTCGTGCCACAGTTAAGAAAGAGTTTGGCGGTGGACACGTCAAAGATGAAATTTTCGGCACAATTGAGGTACTATACACTGCAATATCAAGAACAAATAATAGTGGTAGTACAACTGGTAAATGGTTTATGCTAAACTCTCTCTGTATGGACCACAATTAATTTGTAAATTAATTGGTTCAAACAATTTTGCCTTTGTGAATAGTTATTATGATCTGCTGATAAATGGACTTAGTCAATCTGTCATGTCTTCAACTGTCAGTCAAATACCCTTAAGCGGTATTATTTTACAGTTGAAAAAGTTTGAGTGGACCACCATGTTCCTTAATTTAGAAACTGGACAACTTGTGGCTGTTGGCAGTGTTCTTGGAAATGCTTACCAGGCATGGTCAACACAGAGAGGAGTCAGACTAAATATATACTCCAAAATACAGTACAATATTGAACTAACAACAACAAAGTTTAATAGGAGGAAGTCTACTTATATTTTTACATATTGAAATGACTACTTGGTTGTGTGGGAATTAATAAACTATATTTATTTCATTTTTGATGAATTAATAATGAACTACATTATAATAATGGCTAAATACAAATGAAATTTGTGAGTACAATTTTTATTTATTTTTTCCCCATCACCAGGAGGACCTTTGTCTTCAGGGCTACCTGCGACATGTGACTTCATGTTCTGCACCAGCTCCCCTGACTGCAGCCGAGCAGGAGCTACAGCGAATCAGAATCACGGAGGTGAGAAACGACTGACAGCATAATTATAGTATACGTCCATGAAGTACTTCAGCTCTTTGTTTTATATTTCTTCATTAAGATATAATGAAGATATATATTTTCATAACAATAATAACATTTGACATTTGTCTTTAATGTAAGGCATCTGGATATTTTACTTTAGTTTTTTGATTGTTTGTTTTTGTAATTCTCAATTATGATTTTCACTCATTTCTCACGTTTTAAATCAGGATAATATAAAGAAAATTAAATGTCATGAACATAATTAGGATCTTAAGCGTCTTAAAAATGAGCCTTTTCTTTAACATATATATATATGAAGAGTTCAGATGCAAAAGCCTCTAAATGCCATTTGAAATTTTCTTCAAGAATGTTAATTTTTATCAAGCTTGTATATTTAAGTTCAGTAATTTCACTTAAATGGTAATGAAGATTACCTATGAATTGCCATTTAAGTGAAATTACTGAATTTAAATATACAAGCTTGATAAAAATGATTATTCTAGAAGAGAATTTCAAATGTCACTTAGAGGCTTTTGCATCTGAACTCTTCATATATTTATATTTATTATGGTTAGTCTAATATGGGGTGGATATTTTCATGACTGGTTTTGTGTGATCCACGCATATGGACATTGTCATCTACACTCATACTCTTATCCACCATCTCTCACCCTCATAAACAAACAACAGAACAGTCTTCCATGACATTCTAGGGTAGCTCAAAGGAATTGTTTAGGAAAATGTTTTTAATAGATTGACAGGAACTGTTTAGGTCATAATTTACAGTGCTGGAATACAAAATTGGCTGTGTTTGTGTCTGTAGGTGAAAACTGAGATCAGTGTGGACCCCAAACATCAGACTCTACAGGGTCTTGCCTTCCCGTTACAAGCCGAGGCCAAACGTGCTTTACAGCAGCTCGCAGAGAGACGCATTAACTACATTCAACTAGTACGACGCAGACATACACATTTATACTTCAGTGTGTTCTTACCAGATACTTTCTTACCAAACTGACTAGAAATGTTTGGTTTCTATTTAGAAGTTAGATACGGAGAAGGAAACAATTGAACTAGTGCACACCAGCCCGACAGACATCCGTGATCTACCCTGCCGGATCCCCTTGGATACACCCAGATACCACTTCTTTCTTTACAAACATTCACATGAAGGAGACTACCTCGAGTCTGTGGGTTAGTCACTCCGTCCACCATTCCTTATCAGTATCTCATCTATATCAATCTGTGTAACAGTTATGTAAAACTTTTTCACATGTCTTCCTCTATCACGCTCCATAGTGTTCATATACTCCATGCCAGGATACAGCTGCAGCATCAAGGAAAGGATGCTGTATTCCAGCTGTAAGAGTCGTCTTCTGGAAGGAGTAGAGAGGGACTTCCACCTAGAAGTGGCTAAAAAGGTAAAACACGCTCTATCACACTTCTCACATGATTTAACCCCTTAGCTGTCACCCCCCTTTTTGAGAATGGGGGTTAAAATGCACTATTCAAACTTAAATGGTTGTACTTTAAGAATGCTTTAGAATATATACCCAAGTTTGGTCTTGTTTTAAAGAAAACACTCAGCAGAATATTGCTGAAGTGAAAACACTTAAAAAAATGGAAGTATGAAAAAGTTATGGAAGCTTAAATTTACAGTAAATTAAATATACTGTACTATATATTTTTTATTTTATATAAAATATATATTTTATAAAATATTTTTTACTCTAAAATTTCTATAAAATCAAAGCCATACCTCTTATCAAGTTATGTTGCAAATTTGAAGTTGATAGCACAAAAATTTAAGTTCCCATGAGATTTTGTTTAGGCGTAGTACCAAAAATAGCCACCGGGTGCCATTGAATTCCATTGAATTTAGTTGTATACATTCTGCCTTAACAAATTAATACATTTCTGTCCAAATATCAATTCTGTCACAAAATTTGGAACCTTGAGACTCTGACCTTTCTGACAATATCAGTTTTGTCAAGATTACAAAAGGTTTTGATCATAAATTATGAAATATAATGATGCCCAAAAGGGGAGGAGCCTGATAAAATAAGTACCGTTTCTATGGTAACCCAACTTTCAATTATAAAACAGTTTTCACACGATGAATTCTGAGTTTATAAGCTTTCAAATGATACCTAATTTATGATAACTACTAAAATATGTGATATAATAAAAAAAGGCGATAAAAAATAATATTATATTTTAGAGGATAATAAATTTAAATATGATCATTTTTAGAGGATAATATTGTACTATAATTTTTTATTTTTTATTGAAAAATACTAGATTATATGTTTATTATGAACTTTTAGCATAAAAACCAGAAGTTTCAATGATTAAAAGTGGGTTCATCGACTTTTTGTGACAAAGGCCAAAGGGCTCCTCTTATGATGCAGATTTTTTGAGGTGCACTCTTGTCATAAATTCATCAATTACTCTTCCTACATAATTTTTAACACAAAACAGGAGTAGAATATATATTTAGAAGTCTTAGACCTTTCCAACAATATATAATATGTCATAATTAATTAGGATTTAATAGAAATATAGTGAAATAAAGTTAGGCGTCCCGGTACCAGTTAAGGAGTTAAGGGGTTAAAATCACAACACTTTGGTTAAAGTAAACATGCAAATAAAGGTAAAAGAGCAACCACCGCTTTCATGTTGACTTTAACAAATAAGAGACAATTTATATACACACTGACATTTATTCTGATTTTTTTTTTGTGTGTGTGTGTGTTCTTGTTAATATGTTCATTTAGTTGGAGATAGATAGTGGAGAGGAGCTGACAGATGAATATCTGTATGATGAGGTCCATCCTAAGCAGCAAGCCCACAAGCAAGCATTCGCCAAACCTCGTGGCCCTGCTGGGAAGAGGGGAAACAAACGTCTAATAAAGGGAGGTGGAGAGAATGGTGACAACCACTAGGAAGGACATAAAGTGGGAGGAGGAGATAAATGAACTTCAGTGGTACCCTAAATTTTCCACAGTTCCCTATTTCCACCTGTTTTCAGGCTAATTTGCTGGTATAGTAATGGAAAAAAATGGGATTCTGTGCTCAGTTGTTGTTAAAAACGTTCTTTCTTTGGCTTGTATTTACTCAGTGTTATCAGATGCGTATTCATTTGGTGTGTTAATGTGCTTATATTTAAGAGAAAAACTCAGGAATTAATTTTATCTCAGTAAATTTTCTGAGCATATTTTTGTTACATAATCTCGTACATGCATACACACTCAACTCAACAAAATTTTAAGCATATTAAAAGTGTTTATTGTGAAAGGTGGTGGATCGCTCTTATTTTGAAAGTGTTTTTTAAAAGTCTAGAAAAGAAGTTAGAAGAACCCACAGCCATTTCATAGAAAAAGGCACGCTTATATACACGTAATCACCAGAGCTAAATGTGACATGCAGACAGAATGTTATACTGCGTGAGAACCAATCAAGTTACTGTTAAGTAAAAGATATGTATGCAGGTTTAGACTTGATTCAGATTCATATTTAAACATTTTATATGATGATAACCTTTTGTGTTTTTATAGCTGCAGTTGAGTGTCTTCATTTTTTTTCTTACAAAACACAAATATGTCTCATAAATCCGTTCTTTGATTTACATGGCCCCATACTGTGAAACACATACGACATACTATGTGTATAAGCTTCTATTAGTAATCAGAACATTTCCAAATGAAATATTTTTGTATGTTAAATATTTAAAAACAAAATCAGGATTGAAAATATAATTGTCTAATTAAGTGAATACTTCAGCTAGTGAAATGTTTAAAATCATCATGGTTAGCATAAACAATCTAATGCTAATATCTAAACAAAAACATGATTTAATTTGTTTCATGTATGTTATTGATGGTTGCCCCGGACTATGTTGACATGGATCATTTATATTATTATATCCTCCCCGCCGTTTTTTTCTTAGAATTTTTGTCTGTCAGTGATTAGAGTCAAAGGTCATACACAAAAGATAATCATACCTTATAAAAATGAATTGTAATTAACAGTAAATTAAAATCAACAGCCCTCTCTTGCATTGTTTATGAACATATTGTTGCATAAATAAATAAAAAACTTTCACTGAGTGTTTGGTGGTAATTATTATTTGGCAAATCGATAAATGAATGTAAAATCACAGATGAAAGGAGGGCATCCCTGCAAAAATACTGCAATTTACAATGGGATACACCAGATAGCCTCTAGATGGCAGTCAAAAACAACCGTTTAGAATAAACTCGGTTAGAAACGCCAATAAATCAAGTGGCTACTAAAATAAAAAATTGAGGAAGTTCCATATTAGCCCGACTTCGTCATACTCATATTCAAGAAAGAATATTCAAATTCAAAAAATATTGTGGGCGGAGTTCGGGCTGGCATCCAGGCTAGAAGTTCCACAGACATACATAAGAAGAAATGGTCAAGCCAAATTTCATTCGTTTTCTCCAGATCATCAAGGACTACATCACTTGTTTGGATTGTCAATAAAACAAGCTAAAAAGACTTGTGATATTTAACTTATACATTTTTGATTATGAATGAAAGTTTTCTGTACATTTCTGTATACTGTTGTTCTGTAAATAAATAAAAAAAACTACAATATATCAATCGCTAAGATAGCCTGGCTGCGCCCTCCTACGCACTTCCGCTCAATTTCATTTGAAATGTACTAGAGTCTGGTGGATATGCATATGTGGACAAAATATCACAATGTTTTAATGCAAGGGCCTTAATGCAAAAGTTTAAATTTCACATTTAAAAGAAATGATCTTCCTCGAGATCCAAAGCGGATAACTCATTTCATCAGTAAACAAATGGTTAATTCAGTGGCCGCTTTAGGGGGCGGGGCCTCGTCGAATGGGAGGGACCTGATTGGCTTAACTCAGGGCAGGCGCTCAGTTTTCCTGGAAAGTTCTTGGAACGCAAGACATGCGGTTTCACGAGAAACACCGGCTTTATCCTCGAACGTCAGTCACAAACATCAGGAAGCAATTACCGACCATCATCATAATCAAACTCACAAATGAATAAGGCCAGTGCTATTTCATTACTCACAAGACTGCTGTATGCTTGAATGAGGTAGAAGAGAGGCGATTGATTCTGTGGGTTTCGCAGAGCTGTACTTGCCGATGGCGTCAGAGGCGCTAAACGCGGGGGGATTCTGAGAAAACCAGTTCTGGGAAGTCAGACAGTCAGAAATGAACAAGCCAAACCCTGCAGTGTTCCGCTTCTGGCTCAGTTTTAGGGCACGGGCTGAATAGAAACGCCGCTCGTTTTCGACAACCATGTCCGTCTGATCTACTCGCGTAGTTTAAACAAATCCGTCGACAAGTCGCGCACTTATATGACAGAATCACGACCCTCTTCAACAACCTTCCAGAACGACAGATCTCATTATTGATCTGTTTGTCATCGCTCAAGAGAGAGCATATTATTTTCTCAGCCCGAGTAAAACCTCAGGAACAAAGAAACTTTAACTGGAATCGGTCAGATATCTAACCGGACATCTTCACAATGATTCTCTGCGTCCAAGGGTGAGTTCTGGCGGCTCTTTTTTCTTTAAATATCACAACAAAATATGTAACATACTATCTAATAGTTTATCAAATAAATACAACACATTCTTGATGATTGCACTAAGCATCCCTGAAAGATATGTGGACTCAAATTATTTAGCAATTATCTTATTATTATTTATATAGTAAAATTGTACATATAAAAATACATTGTTTATTGCATTAAACATATTGCAACACTTCAGGCAGGTTGCATTAATCTGATATTTAAAGCTGTCTGCAATAATTAATATAATCTTGTTTATAGTAATATACAATAAAATGTGTTATAAGGTAACAGGGATTTTTGTTTTTGCAGTATGTCTAACATTTTTTCATTATGCTTCTTCTGTGAACTGAAAATGTTTAAACCCATGGCTCAGAATTAAATTGAACGAAATTATAAAGCTTAATTTCTGAAAATGTGTATTAGTGTGCACATTTGAACATACAGTAATAAGTCAGCATATAAACAAATATTGTTAATAAAATTATATGTGCCTTCAGTATTTTGACATGTTTATTTTTGAAAGGATTGTAAATGTTTACAGTAAGTCCCTAAAATAGTTTTGTTTTATCATTATTATTATTTTTTTTTCCAGCCCAAGAGCTCATTTGACCGATACCCCTGATCCCACGGTCAGGTTTCCGGTGGTGACTTTCTCTTCTCCTCGCCGCATTCACTCGGCCATTACCTCATGGGACCCTAGCAAAGATTTAAACGTTATCTCTGAAAATTTCTCCTATCTGGATGCATCAGGTAAGACAAAAAAAATGTTTTTAATTATTACATATTTGTTATAATTATTTTTGGCAAATCCACAAATTATTCAAGTGTCATTCTGTAAAACTGGTGCCTTTTCCAGTATGTCTACTCCCGTTCACACACGCATGCACACACACGTGTATACACACTGCTTTTAGAAAGGTCATTTTTTAGCTATTAAAATGTACCTTTCTGAAAACATAATTATCAAAATGTGTATATACATCAATGAGAAGTTGGACATGCTTATAAAAAAACAACAACTTTTTTTAAAGGGCTCTAAAAGCACCAATTTTCCAAGACAGTGGTTCCCAACCTCTTTTCCAGGTGACCCCTACTTTAACATTCAAAATCCTTAACGGTCCAGCCACCCCCATCACAAATGCAGACACACGTTTTGTTTAATGACATTGATTACAAAATCACTTACTTTTAATAAATTCAACAACAGCAGAAACATTAAAATGGTAACATTAACAACTACGTCCGGATTTGACTTGCAACATAATGTTATCTACTAACATGTACAATTAAAGTATTGACCAAAAATGTTTTATAAAATGATAAACCTAATATTCCAGCTTTAAAGCATTTTAAAAAAAACCAGAATGAGTAAAAATGATTAGTTATTTTATCAGCTCAATGAATAATTCTAGATTCTTTATTATCTGAATTTAGATGTTTAGAATACGCATTAGCTTATATTCCATTAAAGTCCCCGTGAACCGGAAGTCGCAAACGATTTTTCTCCAGTGCTGTGACGTATTTCCAAGTGAAACGGAATATTGATCAGAGGGCAGGGTTTTACTCTAGCGCTCCTCCTCTCCATCTCTCGCTCATAGCAAACTAACGGTTTGAGGGGAGTGGTTAAGCGTTTCCCCACCCAAACTGTGAAGCCTACGTCATCAGAAAAAGAAACCGTTCCAGACCGGAAGTAACTTTTCAGATTTTGATTAAAGATTACCAAGGTAAAACATTTTTTTAATATATTTTTACTTGCACGAATTAATTGTTCACCACAAGACTAGTAATATGCGCTAACAAAGTAAATAGGTTCAATTTTGATTTCACGGGGACTTTAACTGGTTAAAGTTTTGACTGAATGAAAACGTAAATCCAATTTCTGTCAGTAGGTGGTGCTTATTATTTCTATATCCATAAAAGTCTCCAGTAATAACTAATTCCAATAATCCCTTCCTTTTTTCCAGGTTGGTACTGGGGTGCCATCTCTGCAAACGAGGCCCACTCTGTCCTACAGGAGGCACAGAATGGTACTTTCCTGATACGGGACAGCAGCCACCCTCTCTATATGTTGACACTGTCTGTTAAAACCAGCCGTGGGCCCACGAACGTACGCATCGAGTACAGCCATGGACATTTCCATCTGGACTCCAGTTCCCCGGTCAGATCTCGAATGCAGTCCTTCCCCGACGTCCCCAGCCTCCTACAGCACTACGTGGGCTCCAGGAACAAAGAGGAGGGGGAGAAGACTGAGGAGTCTGATCACATAACTTCCTTAAAACCCAAGGAATGTGCGATGTTGCTAAAACTCAAAAAGCCGATCCATCATCCTCAAGCCTTTCCTTCTTTGCAACACCTCACTCGCTTGGTAATCAACAAAAACACAATTTGCACAGAGAACCTGCCTCTACCCAGACCGATACTTCAATATCTTAAGGATTACCCTTTCCAGCTTTGAGGTCACCATGGAACCGCACACCATGGCCAATCACGAGGTGGATGCTGATGTTTTTGAAGGAGGCAAGATAAATGCACAGCCCCGACGAGAGGTTCGGGGTCAAACAAGAAGTGTTGAGACTTGTTTATGGACGAGAAACAAGTTTTTGATGGTCAGCAAGTCTATCTAAATGGAAAGCTAGATACTTTGGTTATACCCAAGTGGGACTGAGTCAAACCAGATGCAGAATTGACTCAATGAGAAGCAAGTCGTGACTCGACCTTCATGTCATACTGTTAAAAGTGTGACGGGTTGAACCACCGGCTTGAGATGATGTTCGTTAAACTTTTGTACAGGTCACATGACCCCTTTTAAAAATTGGTTTGAAATGAGATCACACAGCTTGTCTGAAACTCACGAGAAGCACATGCGTGGCTTGATCTTCAGCACTCTATAAAGGCGAGCTTAGTCACTGCGCTGCCTTGACTGGAATAGTTTCTTTCCTTGAAAGTGTAATGCAGTGAAATTGTTTTTTTTTTTTACTATTTTAATAAAGATTTACATTTTTTTATGCGCACAATGTGGAGTTTGTATGTATTTATGGATGAAAGGTCCTTTCATTTTATAATAAAAGTGACAATCAAATGTACTTGACGTCATACTGTTTTTCATTTGCCACCTCCGAGAATAATGATAAGAATTACATATATAAAAGTATAATCAAGTAAAATGGAGGAAGTCTAAAATGATGAGGGCAGGGGCTTATTACTTGGAGAACACAAAAGGAAAAAAACAGATTACTTGGGTGCTTTAAGAGAATAAATTGGACCTTCTCTCAGAATGAAATGGAAGTGATACACCGGTTCAAACAATCTGACTCACTCCACTTCTAAGTACTGGCTTTCTAGTAAGACTATCAAACAAGGTCATCCAGAACTGTAATCTCAGAATAATAGCATTATTGGATGAACAAATGTGCATAAAATTGCTGTTCAATTTCATGGCCAAAATGTGTGTTATACAAGATTATTAGATGGTCGCCGGCCATAAAGGTTTCACAGCTGAACCATGTCAAAGAAAAGATGAACATTTCTGTGTATTTATAGCATGTAGTTATTTTTTAAATGCCTAAAATTGATGAACGAGAGTAACAAAACATTAATGAGAAATGAAAGACAAGTCTGTGAACAAAAAAAGCATTGTTTCCTCATTCTATTTTCCTCACAGTGAATCATTCTTACTGCACACCGTGATTAGTACTTCCCAGAATGAGAGGCAGAGCTTTTTCTGAAACTCGATCTCAGTGCTGCGCAAGCTTACATAAATTTGCTGGTGACGTAAATAATCTTTTTCTGCAATAATATACGTTAAGAACAGTATTAAAAAGGGTGATCGATAAGAATTATTTTAACAGTTGTGCTGCAAAAGGTTCTTGTTAAATGATCTAAACAATAAGATTGCCAGAAATGCCAATATTGATTTATCAGCATCAACTATTTTAAATACATTTGTTTTTATTATGGCATTGAATGTATACAAGAACAATAAATATAAAAAATGTCTCCGCAATAATAATTTAATACACATTTTTAAAACAGAGAAGAGAGGCAGTGCATGTAAAAATCGGTTTCACTCATTTATAACAAAGAGAACAGACAGAATTGGTGTATACATTGTGGTAGTGGAGCATGTCTGGTTTGTCTGACTGTCTATGTGGGCTAGCAGAGCGAGCGAGTTAGCGGCAACGGGCCAGCTGTTTCGCAGAATGAGTGCATTACTTCCAGGGAGTGACTAGCGCAGGGTTGGGAGGGGGAGTTCTTAGAAAAGGCCTCAATAATTACCTTCAGCCTACTGCACCCTGACACTTGCACACTGAGCATAAACTCACAATCAATGCAATCTCATCACAACAAACCACAGCCACACACATGCTTATCAATCAAAAGGAAAGCGAATATAAAAGATATAACAATAGAAGGTTACAGCACAAGACAAATAGAAACCCTTGGTCGGCAAATTTGACGAAGGAGCTTCTTGGTAGGATTGGCAGATTAACTCGGTGCATGATGGGAACATGTGTGCCAACTGCAATTTGACTGAAGGTCTTTTAAATGGGCAATTGCTCATGGTAAAGACTCTACCATGTAAAGTAGACATGGTAGCTCTACTTGGTATGGTGTCATTTCAGCCAAGATCAACTTCCTGACTGTCTTTCCTAATGTATTTTTCCTCTGTCCTTTGTTTCAGTCATCCTCTTCTTTCTTCTGTAAAATGCAAAATCGAGGCCTGTAAAATAAAAAGCATGGTGTGTTTACCAGTAGACACTGTAAAAATATTGTTGGTTTAACTTTAAAAAAATGAAGTAACCTGGTTGCCTTAAAATTTTAAGTTCATTGAAATGGAAAAATTGAGTTAAACTCAAAATATTATGTTATCTGAACTACATAAATGTTTTAAGTTGATTTGACAAAAGAAAAAATGTGATTACAAATCATGAAAATATTTGTTCACAGTGTATTGTCGATGAGATAATGTTGACTCGTCATCCAGAGATAACGGGGTACTTGAGTTGCCTGAGGTTGCATCAGTTTTTATTTACAGAGTCACTTTTATTATACCAAATTCTGGAGTGATGATCCAGAATGACTTGGACAGAACCTTTTGCACATGCGCACTTTAAAGGTGTAGTTCCCATTTTAAAGATCCTCATAATTCACACATCCCATTAGTTATTGTGCAATTCAAAAGATGAAGATTTTGACCCCTAGATTTTGACCGTGGGTCGAGGGAGCGTGTCTACTCCGACGTACACTTCAAGCAGCTCCATATTCCACAATTCAACTTGATTGTGACTTCAAAGATGATCGCACGTAAACTCAAGTGGATATTAATTATTTTGATAATTAACTGAAAATATATTAATAATATAATATATTAATTGAGTTTAGATTTAATCACATTTGTTGATGGCTTATGTTCACAGTCAAAGTTTATAGATGAATGACATCAGTACGAAATCACAAACATTTATTTATTTATTTGGATTAAATATTTTAATCATTCGGTGTCATTTTTCAATGTCAATCTTTTCACTATATACATGTTTACGCCCAAAATGCTACAATATTCAAAGTAGTTGACTGTCATTCTCCTTTACGTTGTTGAGTTATTTTGATTATAGCCTAGCCTATTTAACATCGTTTCAGGCACCTCGCGAGCCTTCAAAAAACGGAAAAAACAGCAGCGCACACATGCAATCCTTTTAATAGTCAATTTCATTTAAAAATGTAAAGTTAAACCCAAAGAGAAAAGACAAGCATATAGGACTTAGTGCTAAGTGGATACATCTATTTAGCCTATTCATTATTCAGAATGTACATTTGGAAAGAAAATATATTTATAGGAACGTTTCATCAGGCTCAAGACAATTAATACAGAGATAATTATTCATTGTTTTAATCAATCGGCAGCCATAAAACAGTGATAATCTGCATTCTCATGTATGTAGGTGCGCTGAACGCTCTAACCGAAACTCCCGGTATGTAGTCCATTTAAACCAAGGGGGTAATCCATCAGCCAGAAACTAAAGCCTCGCCGCCATTGTAGCAGAACTTCACCTGCTGTTAGCATTTGATCGACTCCCATTCATTTGGCGTCACTTTGACAGCGAATAACTTTACATCTGAGGCGTTTACAGACTCCATTTCTCCATTGTTTATTTCTAAAGAAACATGGCTCCATTCCCTTATATCTTACGTTATGGCCCCGTAGAAGCAGTTTTTGTAAAAATAATAGGCTAACGTTTGCGGCATAACCAGAGAAATAATGCTATAGACAGATGTAGAAGCTTTCGCGCAATCGGGGGGACATGGAGGCATAAAGTCAAGGGAGAAGCCCATAGAGAGTCATTATATTGATCCTGCTGCTAGCTTATGGACAGCTAATACTCATGATCTTCGACTCTGCAAGATTCGGAAGGGAATTATTCAGATTTTTGGCACAGCTACAAGAAGACGTACAACTGTGAGACAGGTTGCTCATGTCACATTTACGTCGTCAAGCTCAGTTTGAGCATGCGCTGTATGCTTGGCAATCAGGAAGTGAGTGCTTCAAATTGGCTTCACTTTTATCCGTTGAAATTTACGGGGTCGCTGTGTCCATTTCTTTTACGGCCTATGATTTAAACCTTATACACGAGTTTTGCCAGTAATGGGCGTTCATGCAACCTAAGCAATGACGCACATCTGTGTCCATGAGACGGAGGGAAGTTTGTGAGTGAAGGAAGCTTGCGTTATAGCTAATATATTTGGTTTCATGTGAGCACATTTTGGGTGTGAGGAAAGAATCTGGGAGAATCCGTAAAATGATGCACAATACATGTAATCCCATGCCGAAATTCAAGCCCTGTAACCGCAACAATATTCATCTGGAGGCAGAGCAAATGAAACAGTGAGTGAGGGGAGGAGGGTGTGTATGTCAACTCGCTGTCAGAGAGCTGAGATGGAGAAAGCACCGTTAGTATTGTGTGTGTATTCAGCGAAATAAGAGTATTAGAAGCGTTTCAGATATTTTAGTAGCTATAAGCCGAAGCTATTCAGTTAAGGTAAAAAAAAAAAAAGCTTTAAAAATCTTGAAATTAAAAATTTAAAAATTACTGCTTTAAAATCTTGATCAAACAAGGACAAAGAAATTATTCTTGACTAAATAGGCTACCTTTGTAACTTTACAAAGAGATCCATTTATATTTAATTTATACAGTAATGAATGTGCAGTGTTTTTTTCCCATTTGATTACTCAAATTTCTGATGGCTACCTAAAAACACTGTTTTTATAGCTGATTATTTGTTCTTATTTTATTACTGACTGCATAATTCTATTTGATAATGTTTTACATTTATTAGGCTGGTAGTTTTTGTTGTAGTATCAAAATTGGAATTAAGAATTGATATTTCACTGGTGTCTAAACATTTGTACCACTTACCCAATCCTCAGAAGTGAACCCTGATGGAGCTGCTCTAAATAAGTACTGTGCTATTAATAAAAGATAAAATATGATAGAGCAATCGAATGAACAGTGAAAGTAAAAGAAGCTCATTCAATGCATTTTAGCAGGCATGAAAATAACTGAAGGAAACATAGATTTGATAAACAAATTAAGCAATCTAATATAATTTATATTCTTTTGGGTTCTCTACCAATACATTTAAAAATTAAAAATGCAGTGAAAAGTGATTTCAGTGCATCCCTAGTTATAACATTCCACAAGAGACAAATACCATGTAATTACACTGTAACATGGACTCGGTCTAAGAACAAACATTCACGGAATGAAAATGTATTACTTTTGAGGGAAAAAAAGTCCTCATTTGACAGATGTTTGAAGACATCTGTCAAATGTGAGGATTTTTCCCCCCAAAAGTGATACATTTTCATTGAAATTAAGTAAACAACAACAAAACAAAAAGGACAGGTCGTGTTAGCATAAGAACCTGACCTGTTGGTGAGGTCACAATGGGTTTCCAGATAAAGCAAGCGTGGCATCATTTCCTCTATCAGCTGCTGAATGACTGGTGGATGGCATGGAGCAACCTCGAGGTAAACCCGTCTGGGCAGACAAAGGCATTTAAAAAGTAAGGGAGGAAAAGGTTT